ATAAAATTCAATTGGCACTGCGACAGAACTTGCCATTATCTCTTTCCTCACCACAAAGTTTCCAAAGATCGCAATTTTTTCTTTTTTTCAGTATTGCGTTGCAAAATTTTTTTTCAACATCGCAATTTGAAAGAGGGGAAAAAATTCGTACGCTATTTAATAAATAAATAAAATAAAAACGAAAAAAAAAATCTGTTTCTAGAATTAGTCGGAATTGCCGGCAGCGTCGGTGTACACTGGGCGGCAAAGATGGCGCCGCGAGGACGGAGGAAGCATGAAGCACATGGCGCCGACGGCGTGTACGGCATTCGTAGCATGGTTATGGCAATGATTCAAGAAAGTTCTTTTGTGTTTTACTGCTCTAGAGTGCTCACTGATGCGGTGATAATTACTTCATTTGACCTGCCAGCTTGTTAGAGCGCGAATGAGTGGCAACAAACGTTTATGGGAGCAAGGTAAGAAATTTTCTTTGTCCTTGCTGCGCTGCAGTTTGGGGATTTCGGATTGTTAGATCTGCTGAGACACTCGTTGCTTGATCTTCAGTGAACGATGCGAGCGTGAATATATAGCTTTAGAGAAGAAAATTTTCCGGGCAGCTATCAGTTCGGAAGTTGTTGGGTGTCCGCGAGGAAAGTTAAGTGCATTTTAAGCATCTCAAAACTAAACTGACTGGGCACAGTTTCAAAAATTGAAGCTTTGGGATTTTTCAAAATTAAGCAATTTCGGGAAAATTTTCGATGAGTGGGAAGTGGGGTGGGGGGGTCGGTCGGTCGGTGATGTCGGGTCATTACTTCTGGAAGTTGATGACTTCTAATAAAATAACAGTAGGTACCGAAAATTTCGCATCTCATCCGGCGGACTATTTGCAGCTATGTTTCAAAATTTACTCTGTCTCACTCGGGGTAAGTTCAAAAACCTACCCGCGTCTTGCGTTGCCTCTGATCCATTCGAGTAAGATTTGGAACACAGCCTGCAATGAATGATTTCTTTTCGAGATATGAAAGACACTTATTTTTTCACCCCTGCACACTTTAAGCATATTTCAGGTGCACTGGCCAGCTTTAGAGATGCCTTTGAATTGACTGTTTCTTCTCCTTATAGCAGAGATTATGTCTCACAGGCTCATAGGAAACTTAGTAGTTTTAGACCATCCCAGATGCAAATTTAGCCCAGTCTCGGCAAAAGCTTCATCTCCTAATTTTGACCAGAGTGTTTCAGTCACCCAGGGATGTTTGCCTTTTAATGCAAGGCCTGCAGGTTTATACCACTGCAACTAATTTCTTTGCAGCGAAAAAAAAAAAGTTTAGTATGTTTCTAAGCTTGATTTAAACATTTATAATCCCATAAGGTCATTTAATGCATATTTATCCTTTATTTTAGGGAAGCTGCAGCTGCTATCCTGGAAGAAAACGACGATGCCTAGAAGCAAGAAATCATTTCTGATAAGTTAAATAAAGACTGTGTGATTATCTACCTTTAGATCTAGTTGCAACTTTTTCTAGTTTGGGATATCCAAACACTAATGGTTGTCCCAGTTCGTATTTGTCAATATGATTTGAACAGTTGGACCAATTGCTTTTTTCCTATTGGGAGTCCGAAAACAGAAATAGGTTTTTTCCAATTGGTTGCATCCTATTGACAATGCCGAACTAGTTCGAATTGGTGATGTTCAATTAGATTTCGACAATTGAAACCAATCAACTTTTTCTAACTAGGAGTCCGAAATCACAGATAGGATTCCCCATTGGTTCTAATTGTCGATAACTAATTAGAACCAATTGACTTTTTCTAACGAGGAGTCCGAAATCACAGAT